CTGAGCCATCTCTCCAGCCCGATTTTGTATATTTCTTTCTAGTTTTTTTGTATATTCACATGGCATTTTAAGACAAAGCTAGAATTGTAAAATGCTTTATCTTTAAAAAAAAAATTTTATTACAGAGCAGCTATTTCTCCAGGGCATTAAATCTGTGCAAATATGACATTCAGAGGACAATTTACCTCCAACTGTTGGGTATTCCAACTATTTCGAATACTTGCCACTATAATTAACCCCATTAAACACTTTTCTTTACACATAGTTCTTTGTACGTACTCTGGCACATATTTAAAGAGAAATCCCCAGGCATGATCAACGAAGCTCATATGTATTGTTAAGCCTTCAGAGGCATTTTATTAAACTTCCTTTGAGAAAGACTGAACCAATTTACAGTCACACAAATAGAGAATCAGTTCCTCCTCGCATTCCTTGGCAACATGGGAAATCTTCAGCCTTTACTGTTGTAAATTTTTTTTTAAACTGGGTAAAAAAGTATATATTTAGAATTAACCAGCTGGACTCAGTTGAGATGATATCAATTTTGTTGGCATCATCCAATGCATCACAATCGGGAGCCCAGAAGAACATATGCCTTCTCCTCTCCATCAGGCCTGGTTAGGTACTGACCTTGGCAACATCGATGCCACAGAGCTTCTTTACAGCTTGATCTGGTGTTTACTGGTTGTGACATCCACAATGAACACGAGTGTGGTGTTGCCCTCGATCTTCTTCATGGCTAACTCTGTGGTGGGGGGAACTTGATGATGGCGCAGTGGACAAGCTTGTGTCTACTGGGGGCGCTCTTCTGAGGGTAAAGGTGGGTGACGTTTGTATCTTCTTTTGTGGCTGCAGATGCCTTTCAGCACAGCCTTCTGGGCCTTCGAAGTCTTTGCTTTGGCTTCAGCTTTGGGAGGAGTAGGGGCTTCCTTCTTCGCCTTCAGGGCCATCTTGGTAAAAAGCTATTGTTGTAAATTTAGTGGGAGGAAAAGAGAATGTTATCTGCTGCAATTCTTCCCTCCTAGGTAAGGTCCTGCCACCTTTGCTGTTGGTTTGCTTTTCTTCTGTGCTCTCAAGTAACTGGAGTCTTCCAGGCCTCTAACGTGGGCGCTCTTGCCTTTCCACTCCATGTTCCTCTTCGCAGGCAAGGGCATGACAGCTGCATGCTTTTCCTATTTTTTTCCCCTTTAAATTAACTTTTTTTTTTTTACTCTTCAGAAAATTTTATTTCAAGACAAAGCATAACTTCCATCCAGACCATGATCCCAGTGAGTGAAAAAAAAGTGTTTTCCTCATTTTACCCTTCAAAAGAGGCACAGAGGGTACAAACGTCCCTACAATGGCTCTGCGTGTTCTCTGAATTGACAGCACAATCACTGAAAATGCTTTCCCAATTTCACATGAGGCACAGTTTACCAGGAAACCTCTGCCACAACTTACTCATTTTCTTGGGAGGTAAACGTCCAGGGTCTCCAGGGTGTCCAGGCTTGGTCTCATCCTCTGGGCTTCCTGCGCCCTCGAAGAGGAGTCGAGGAAGTCTCGAATCTCCTTTTTGCATGCACTGTGGCAGAATTCACTCTGCTTCCAACAAGCCATCATCACCGGCATCTCTGTGACACAGGTCGCTTCGCCCTCCTCCCGGCACCATTCTCCAACTGCAGTAGCTAGGAAGAGAGGTTTGTTGGGTTCATTGTAGGATTCTGCGGGTTCGCCAGCTGCACGAGGTGTCCCCATAGGCTGGGCGCTGCCATGGTGCACCACACTCCCAAGTGAAATTCTCAAAATGATTGAAATGAGGAGGTCTTCTAGGCAGCCACGCTGTTTTAGTGTCTTGGTAATAGAATCAAAAATGGACGGGGGCCCAGCCCTAGCTCAGTTCTTGGGGCTGGAGAGATGGCTCAGTGGTCTAAAGCACCTA